AGGAGGCCATACCTGGATACCACATCTCCCTGAATGTGCCTGGAAGCTCCCATGTCCTGCTTCCTGAGCCCTTGGGCTCCTATTCACATCCTGAGCTTGACAGCCCATGTTCCCAGCTGGGTGACTGCAATAAGAAGAATACAGATTGGGAATGTGGAGCTCTCAGCCCAGCTCTGTGTCCTGCTGCTAGGAACACCATGTGCAGCTCCATGCCCTGAACTTTAGTGTTCTCATCTGAAAAGCAGCAATTTAATTGACAAAAGCTTTGGTTAGTGATTATGATCCTAGCTTGGACTCCTTTTGCCTCCTCCATTCTGATAAAATGGAAATGTTTTAACCTTGAAGAATATCATATGATGATCTCCCTGGAGTTTTCCTATCAGTTTTATTATCAAGTTCACTTGACCAACTAAGAATTGGTATTCAGCCTAAACGCGATCTTGTCCAACCATACCATTTGACTCCTTGGTTGGCTTGCTTTGTCCTATGCTATTATACAGAACATCCAACTAGTATTACCCTAATTGCATTTCCAGGACATTAAAAGGCTTTGGTACTCAAGTTGGGGGAGGGCTTTATTATTCAAATTATTTGGTAGTATAAGTTGAATGCATTTGATCTGATTTCTTGAGTTCAGACCTTCTCAGAGCCTAATCTCTGCAAAGAATACTCGATAGGGTATTCTGAAGCCTGAACCCTGCCACCTGTATCTCTGCCCTGCTACGGGTTAGGGTTATAAGTACACAGTTCCTGTTGCAAACAAAGTTGATCTGTGTCATGACTGAGGTTCATTGTGAGCTCTGCTGTTTCTTGATTTTGGTTTGGATTCCCATTTTCCCCTAAACAGCCTACTGAGAGCAATTTATTCACTGTTTACTATATAAATGATGCTAACGTGTGCACAAGTACCAAGTGCACCCAGCTTGGCTTCTGCACTCAGAAAGGTTAAACTGCTCTTGTGAAGGCAGAATAACCGAGTGGCCTCGTGATTGGAGGTAGTCTTGGGCTATTTACCAAGTGACTGGTTAAAAAGTCCAAGGGACACAGGAAAGTAGTTGGGGCAGGTTGCAAGTTTAATGGATAAAGTTGTATCTTAGGTAGATACGGTAAAAAGGCAATGTTAGAATGAATGGCAGAAATGAGGGAAAGTATTCCACACAGAGGAGCAGAGAGTGTGGTTAGGCATGTGACCGAGCAGGGGGACATTTCACCTGGTGCAGCAAGTGGCAGCTTGTTTTCCTCTCACTGTATGTGGGTTCTTTCTGCCTATCACCATCTTTGCTGAGCTGCCTTTTCCTGCTTGAGGTAATTCATTCATGCTTCTGTAAAGCAACACATGCCACCATCAAGTGCGACAGGTATGACCAAAGACAGTGCAACGGCCTGATGTGAAGGATGTAAGCAATCTCTTCATGTGTACAGTGAGGTTGTCCTGCATCTTTCCTGCCTTGTCCTGAGACAGGTCCCCGGGGATGTCAAAGGCACCAATATCCTGTAAGGACCTGACATCCACGTGGAAGCACATTGCATCACTTCTGTGGGAAGGAATCAAGTTTTGGAACTGCATAATCCAACGCAGTTTAAAGAAGTCATCTATCTTGCAGTGGCAGTCTTTGAGATTCTGTGTCATATTCACAAGCTCAAGTAACTTTTTAATTTGTTGCACAGATACATTTCTTTGAGAACCTTTCTGGAGATATATATGCTGTATCTAAAAGGGAAAAGGTATAGCATTTAGTTTCAGGTGCTCAAGACCAAGTAGGAAAGAACTGTGGAAACTGGGTCAATCAAATTCCATGCAATGAGTGCTGCATTGAAGGTTTCCCTGTTTATTGTGGAATAATAGAAAGTGCTTTGCATTTCTTACTTTCTTATTTCATTACTCATGACGGTATGTATCTGTACCATCAGTACATCATTTTCAGCTGTGAGTATGTCAGCTGAGTTCAAAGTGTGGGTAGGGATTTTTGAGGTGTGGGCTTGGGAAAGAAAAGGACAGGAAAAAGCATTTTATTTTGAACAGGGAACAATGTATGTGACATTCTCAGGTCAGAGAACGGGGGATTAGGAATCTGTAAGTGGTTAGGTCTGGTGAGCCTATAGGGATCTTGGCATAGGAAGGAAGGAAACTCAGTGCTATATGTGACCGCAGTGGAGGGCCTTATCGGCCAGGGAGAGGAATTTTTAGTTCATTCTGTTGATTACACAGATTTTAGTCAGGGCAAATGCCTGAATTTTTCTGCTCTTCTCCCAGCTTTATTAACACAAATTCACATGAGATTATGTGTTTGGGGATGACATGCTTTTGAGGAGGACTCATTCTATCTGTAACCTTTAAGCGGACATAAAGCCGCCTCTCCCTCATCTCTGCTCATGGTATAGAAGCCACACAATGCCCAGTGGAACTTTTTCCCTGAATAGAGCCACGTAGAGATCTCTACCATCTCCTTCAAAGTTAGAATTGCCGTGTGGTCCAGCATTTCCACTCCCAGGTACACACACCCAAGAATTGAAGGCAGAACTAAAATAAGTGTTTGTACACAAATGTCCGCATCAGCACCATTCACAGGAGTCAGAAAAGTGCAAACAATCCAAACACTGACTGAGAGGAATGGAGAAATCAAATGCTCCGTGTTCACGTAGTGAAATAGTATTTGGCTATAAAAAATGAAGGAAGCAATGATACAAAAAGACCAAGGAGGCCATGACATATGCCACCACATGGATGAGCCTCAAAACTGGGAGGCAAGAGGCCATGTGTCATGTGATTCCGCTTATAGGAAATACCCAGAATGGGCAACTCTGACGGATGCAGAGTAGATTATTTAGTTACCAGGGTCCACAGAGGGAGAAGGGAACGTAATTGGTTAGTGGGTATGGGGTTTATTAGAAGGACGAAAATGTTTGGAACTAGATAAAAGTGATTGCTTTATGGTCCTGAGAATTTCATCAGTGCCTCCAAATGGTAGACTTTAACATAGTCAATTGTACATTTTGTGATTCTCACATCAGTACACATAACCTCCCCCCATTCACCCTGTGCTCTCTGTGGACACTGTCTGTCACCTATCAGAGGAACAGTGTGACAGCCTGGAAGGAGGACAACCCTCAGAGTCTGGGCCCTGATCCTGCTTAAAGCCCAGTCTGTGAGTTTTCCGAAGGGAGCTCTTTACTTTAGAAAGTGGTTATTTCCAAGTTGACTCATTCGAGTCTGTAAATCACTTTTTTTTTTGAATGCAGAAGAATAAAGGGTAAAAGTTATTCCTTTGCTGTTCTTGTAATTGCCAAGATCAATAGGCACAATTGATTGAAATTGAGAAATAGTCTCCAGGTAACATTTAGGAAGAATCATTGAAGTTGGTACGTTGGGAATCATTGTCCACTGCACTCTGAGGGGACGACCTTTGAAACTGGAGCCACCTCTGCAGGTCCTGTGGCAGGATCACTGAGGAGGAAGGAAAGACCCTGCCTGCTTGTGCTCTGAAAGGTCACATCAGAGGGTCCTACCTTTGGTGTCTTAATGCTATGTTAAACAGCAAGGACTCTGGGATGGCACAGCTGAAACTGTTCATGCTCTGGGGAGGAGGTCCTGGGCAGTGGGTGGCCCTGGAGAAGTATGTGCACTGCGTCTCATGCTTAGGTTCCTCTGCTTGTCAGAAGCCCAACAGCAGGGTGGCAATGAAGTCTGGAGGAGCTGCCGGTTGAGGTCTTTGCTGAGTGGTCATCCTGTTATGTTTCTGGACAGTGAGTCCTCTGTTTCTGTGTTTTGGGCACTGGGATGAGCGTGGAAAGGCCTGGGCTGTGCTTGTGGCTGTTCACATTGTTGGCTTCCCAGCTGCATCCATCACCATGGGGAGGAAGTGCTGGCTGGGCTCACAGGAGTTGCAGTTTCCAGCCCATGACTTGGGAAATAATATTAAAGGGAGGAAGGAAAAAAAAAAAAAAAACTTGCTGTTGACTCTGAATATCCTACTTTGGTTAGACAGCTCATCAATAGGATTGGGGGACAGGATTGATCTTTTACTTATAATGCAGAACATTCAATGGATGGCAAAAATGCTTTTAAAAGGGGCCCATGGAACACTTTGAAAATATTAATTAGTGTGTTGAAGCATTCTGCATAGCATATCATAGTGAGACTGCTCCAGGGGGTTGCTTGGAATGAATTATTAATAAGAATCCCTCTCTCCCCTGTGCTTCCCATCCTGATTTTATGGGAGTTGGTGTGGGTTGGGGTGTCTCTTAGATTCATTTACTGCTCATTGAATGCAAGTGCAGAGCAGGTTGTACCATTGGTGTTGCTTGCTATGGGGCACATAAGTCTAGTAAAGGAAGCGTACCCCCAAATACCAAGAACACTGAATAAGGGAGTAGCAGTTAAATAAAGGCAGCACTACCAGAGGTTGTGATGGGTTTGCTTCTGAGGATTTCAACTGGACACCAAATGGGTATGGCTTCTGGGTGTGGTTTCTTTAAGATTCAGGTCTGAAGGAGGGGGCAAAGGTCAGGAAGAAACCGCTTTTAGGACTGATTAGAACAAACATTCAGAGGATTCTCTTAGACCCCTGCTCTGCCTATATCAAGGGTGAGCCCACCAGGGTCTTCCTACCAAACTCCACAGTACCTAGTGGGTGACAGTGTGAGGTCACCAAATCTCACCAAATCTCACCAAAACTTAGCATCCCTGAGCTCACTGGGATGCCAGCTGAGGGAAGCCTGCTTTCCCTGTTTTACTAAGCGAGGATTTGTAGAACTAGGAACAAATGAGTAAAGACATTTTATCTTAAAATTTTAAACTAATTCAATCAAGGGTCATAGGAATATTTATAGTTGTGCAAAATTGAACAATAAGGGCTGGAGCGTGTGTGTTAATCTAGCTATTATGAGAGTTCCCGGCACTGGCAACACGCCAAAGTGCTCACAGGACCGCCTACAACAGCTCCCAGCTTCCTCGCTTTTGTCCCTTCTCCTCCCCCTCCTTCATTTCACACTTCGAATTCATGAGCACCATATCTTCTTTTGCTTTAACGATTATGCACAGATATCTTAGATTGCTGGAAAAAAGTCAAAAACCGTTTCGACAATGATTGAGGTTTTCAGCATTGTGGAAACAGACAATCATACACAATGGTAAGTTTTCCACTTTAATATTACTGGTTTCAGCTGTTTACAGAGTATAAAAGACATGGCCTTCCTAGTTCAAAAACGAATTAGCCGACGACTTCTGTGTGTGTTTAGCTTTACAACGATAACTCTGACTCACTGGGTTGTGCATTCATTTAGCTCCAATGCTTTGAGCTATCATATTGGGCTGTTACATTTCCCTTCCCAGGGCAAAACACAGACCACTGCAGAACTGGCATTTTGGGGTTGACAACTTCCTGTTATTAGCAGAGGAGCAGATCATTAGCAGTTGGTTGTTTCTGGCAGAGAGGGAAGTAAATAGCAGTGAGAATCTCTGAAAGTGCCCAGACAACGCCTTTGCTTTTTATAAAGTTAGGAGCGTGGCAAATCTTCCTGAGGAGACCATCCTTGCACACTTGCTGACGTTATGCACACCGTATCCTCTTGAGCAGGTTCTGTAGCCAACTGATTAATATTTTAAGCATGAAGACAACCTGCAGACCTTTGGAGGCTAATTGTTCTCCTTTCTTTGCCTCTTGAAAAAAAAAAAAGGCCAAATTCTTCTTAGCTAAAGAACTCCTTATAAATTCACATCTCTTTTGTGATATTATTCTATTTACTTCATTTCATCTGAGTTAAGCCCAGGTTTAGAAGGAAAAGAATTAGCTCTGTAAACAGTGGCTTCTGATAAGGTGTCTGCATTTTGGAGAGTGTGACCTGGTCAGTCTGTGGGTAGAATCTGCTGCCCAGAGAGCTCAGAGCCAGAAGGTGAGAGCAAATAAGCCCTTCGTTGGGCCACCACACTCCCCACCGAGAGCCTGGACAAAGGCATAGACAGGGAACAGGCATGTGCCTCAGAGGGGCCTGCCGTACATTTGGAAGTTTTATTTTTATTTATTGTTTGGTGGTGATTTAAATACCTCACACTGCCAAATCATACGCAGAAAAACAATTCCCACATTTGGCTTTTGTTATCAGCTCAGAGAATTAAGGTTATTTTTTTCCTTGACTTTTTTTCTTTTTTTCAAACAGCCCTAGTGTTTTGGCTGTCTTCCAGTTCAGGTAATTACATTCTGTCTTCCTAAATCCCCCTGAAACTCCAATTGGGCAAGCTGCTCTTCACTTCCCTCCTAAAAGCTGATGTGCGGGGTGCCTGGCATCAAATGGGGTGGCATTCCAATAGTGGGTCCCAAGGTGTTCTGCTGAAATGCCTTTCCAGTGGCTTCTGCGGGCAGAGCTTGCGTGCAAATGGAAGTAGTATTATTTATTGCCCTTTCCTATCAGCAGCTGCCAACCTGAAAGTATCTCTGAATGACATTTTAAAAATGAAGGCCAGGGTCATTAGGATGATTAGATAGATACTAGGGTCCATTTTGTTCACCTTTAGAATTATTGGGCTACTGAAAACGGACTTGGGGGTGACAGGAAGGAAGAGACTTGCTGTGACAGGAAATGTCCCCTTGCCAGTGTCTCAGCTTCCACGAAATGGCACTTTAAATTTTTTTTTTTTTTCATTTTTGGTGTATCCTGATTAAAACTAAGGAAGAGTTATGAGCTTTTGTTGTTGATTTTTGCTTTTGTTCTGTAAGGTTGGAAACAGAAGTGTGTTCCATTTGTAGGGATAAAATTATATCTTTAAAAAATTTGAGACTTAATTCACTTGATGTTAATTCTCCAAGTAATTATTGAGCATGTATCATGTCCCAAACCTTGCTAACGGCTTATTTTGAACACATAGGCATTTTTGCTTTTATGTTTTTCATGAATACTGTATTTATTTTAATTATGGCCACCTATGCTTTCAAAAAAGCATGGAAATAATTCCTTTAAAATATCACCTATACTGAAAAAAGCATGAAATAACATGTTTCTTTATGCAATATGTAATAATCCCCTAAGTAGAAAGCTTATTTTAGTGAAAAGTACATTTTCCAAGATTCAAACCAAAATGTACCAGAAATAGAATTTGGGATATATGCAGAAATTTAAAAATAAGAAAATACGATACATGAAAATCTCCTTCACTTTGAAGAAAAACGTGAGTAAAGAGATTTTTTTTTCTTTTTGAGTTACTCTTACAGATATAGGAAATAGTTATGTTCACCAATTTCATTGGCTTCTGAATCTCTACCACATAAAGTTTCTGTGAAGATGTGTCCAATACTCTAGTACCCTGACTCAGAGTTCAAGTATGAGTTTTTCCATATACCTGGAATTAAGCAAATCTTTCTGGCACTTTTAATTCATTTCCCCCTTTCCTACCAGGTGCCGTAAATTCATAGCATTCTTCATTTGTGCAGCAAGACCAAAGCCATACTGAAGGAAAAAAATCCGTCTGTCTGACACTGGGTCTCATCATCCTGTGTTCAGAAAATAATTTACTTTTGCCCTTTTACTTCCCCAAAGAATCATTCTTTATAAAGCACACAGACAATGTAGATTTTCAACACAAACTCTATTGGGTGCCCTTCCTGGGGCTTATAACTCTGGTGATTTGTATTTTTCCCTAACTACAGGGAAAACTGCAAATTAGCACACTTTAAGAAGTGAGTACACTTCCTCTGATTTACAAGGAAGAGTAGTGTGACTCTATAGCTCAGGAATCCAGTGGAATAAATTTATGGTTAGAGAAATTCGTGTTCTTAACGTGATGAAGGTCCTTTACCTTTTAACACGCTTCTCCGGTTAAGCTGAGCAGGACTCACAGGGAAATGGTTGTCTACAGCTGCCACAAATTGATTTATTCCCAGATGACAGAGCTGCAGACCAAATTGTTGGGAAGAAAGAATTCTTTAATTTTTGTATTTGTGGTTGTTGGTGCATTGTTTTCGCACCTTCCCAGTGTGAGTGGGTGGAGACTCACAGTGGCCTAGGTTGCCTGGGCTACCAGGGCAATTCTCTGCCCAGAGGAACTGCCCTCCTGATAATATGTCACACCACCACCTGATGGAGGGCTCATCTCTGAAGCCCCTCCCCAGGAATTTATAGCTCATGCCCTGTTTCCCTGGCATTTGCGAAATTCTCATTAAATGATCTGTGTGTGAAATTATGGAGTCAGCGTCCATGGTAATTCTGATTTGTGTTTGGAAAACTATATTTTCAGTAGCAGCTAAAATTACTTGCCTAGCCCCAGGGATGGATTTGGGTGCCTCACAGTCCCATCTGAAGCATGACAGAGGCACCTCCTGGACCCTGATGTCACCTTTGCCTCTCTGGAACTTCCCTGTCCATCTCTGCACAGGGATTTGAGCCAGATACCAATCAATGTGGATGCACATTTCTTCTTTCGGTAAAGATACCTACTGTGTGCAAAGCAGAGTGGAGAGAACAGATAGGGTCTCCATCCCAACCCGTTCACAGTAGAATGGGAAAGCTTGAAAATAAAACAAGCAGAGATTGCAGAGGAGATTATCAGATTTAATGATAGGTACCCCAAAAGAAAAGACCTAATGAGTTGGAAGAGAGGATGGGTCACTTGCTGCAGGAGATCCCTCAAAGAGAGGACAGGGAAGCAAAGGCATTTGGCCCCCAGTTCTTTTCTCTAGCAGGAGAAAACCTGGCTCAGTGCTGTGGAAGGGGACTCTGGCTCAGACTTGTCAGAGTGTGAGATTCAGTAGGGGTCAGCCAACACTAAAGCCTGTTCCTTGTTCAAGTGACTGTGGTCAGCGCTGGCTGGCTGGGTTCCCTCCTGCCCCTGTGGCTGTGCACTGTTTTGGGCATCAGAGCTCACGTTGAACTCTCCCTGTCCCTATGGCCCTGTCTAACACAATCCCATCCTTCTGCTTCCCTGGATTCCACAGCTGAGATCTAGTCAAGATGCCTGATTTTTGTAGGTCTGTGCCCACTGGCCTGAGCTTTTCCCTCCTCTCCAGCTGCTGCTCTAAACATATTCTATGGTTTACATTTTCTCCTGCATTCAAGATTTGACTTTCTATTTTTTTTTATAGCTTCAAGAGTAGATGTTTGGGTTCGAGATGTTTGCAGGTAATTGAGAATGGGGTTAAGGAAATCTAAAATACTTTCATGGTTTATGTAGTTTTCTCCCAGAGAAGATATTCACAAATATATTCAGTTTAAAAACAAACACACTGTTTTTTTTAAATAACTGAATTGTATGAAAAACATTTGCTTACCTCAATAAAGTTAAGAGACTTAAAAATTAACATAAAAAGCTCAGAGATATAAACAAAGAAGAAATAAAGGAGGAACAAGGAGATTCTGTCACCAATGGCTAACCATATTTCTTTTATTCCAGAAGTGTTTTTTGAACATGTATGAGACAGGCACTTTTCATTCTCTGCCCATATGACCCTCTGTCTCCTCCTCTTCCTGTAACTCCCTCTTGTCCTGCCCTGTCCATTCTCTTTCTTTATCAAGCACTTGTGGGTGTTGTACCCATCTGCCCCAGGTGAGACTGCTGGTTGCTGGGAGGCTGTGGTAGTGGAAATGTGTTTCCTTATCTCTATGAAGCACAACAACCTAGCTCCTGAAACAGCCAGGTACACATCAGCCTGAGTGGTGATGCTTTAGAAACACACACCTGTGCACAGGTGACCCCTGGTGCTGTGGGGTTCAGTTATCTGGGGATCCTCCTCAGCAGTGGGAGAGTCTGTGTTAGGCTTTGAAGACCCAGTGGAATTTTTCTGAAAGGAAGGTGCTTCCTAGATAAGGAAGCATTGTGCTCTAATACAAGAGGGGAAAACTGGGGAATGGTAAACTGTTTGCTCAGAGGCCCCCAGAATAATTCCTTGGAAAATCCTTGTTGAACTTTTATGAAACATTCAAAGAGCCTTCAGCACTCACTGGTCCCTTGAATAAGTGTCAAGCTCTGATTTTTGCTGTGAGCTTAGCGAATGATCATTCTGTAAGTAAACCTTGACACATGCAGCGTCTTCCATGCCTTGATCACACAATGTCATGACTCTAGGTGAAAGTGAAGATGCCTTAGAGCAAAGGGCCCCAGTGGCACATTTGACAGACACCCTTGAGCCAGGCCTGTGCTGGGT